ACTTCTTCCCCAAAGACAAACCTGCAACCCATCGACGTTCCAATAAAATGTTCCCCTTTAACACATAAACAAAAATAACCGCACAATATGCTTGCCTCAAACCTCTATCTGTCCTCTACATACAGTGAGAGTGGACTCCCCCGTTTTGGGCGGGTCCATACTCCACCTCGCCTGGCGGCGTCCTCACTCGCTGGGAGGGTCTTCCTCCATCCGGAGCCAGGCTCCCTCAGTCGTCCGCCAGCGCTCAGAGAGGACGGACGTCGCTCCGTGTTCCTCCCTCTCCACTCTCTTATTTCAGGCTTTCTGCCTTATTAAAACATGTCTAACCTATAAATAAACATCGCTACTGTCGCTGGGCACACGACCAACTACAATGCAATCACTATGAACTGGCGTATATCGTGCTTACCACAGAACGTCTGGTCGAGGGCGCTTCTTCCTCTGACGAGGCTTGGTCAGGGCGCTCCCACGGCCCACAATAATGCTTCTGGGCGATTTAATATCTGCTCGTCGACCCGGACTTGAGACCACAACGTTCCCAGCTCGATTCCACAGCTGGTACGTCTGCACACTTCTCTTCTCTTAGAGATATATCACTAGGGGTTCCCTTCTGGCGGGAGCTCAAACGGAGCGCGGCTTCCCCCTGCGATGTCTGGCACTCAAGTGAGGTCAAGGTCCTCCGGAAGCGAGCCTCAAGCCTCCAGCAAAATGTCCACATCTCCTAGCCAGTCATTTATCTATTTTCTTCTGCATTGCCCATAATCTCAAACTGTTACACATATCCAACCAACTATTTTACATAGGCGTTATCACCTCAATACTTGCTAGACCTTCTAGTTAGGTCAGGCTTGCTGAATAACTCTCAAGGAGGGAGACTCGTTTCTCCTGCAGGCTGAGATCATAACAGTATATATATACACAGGCTTCTTATACTCAACTAATTGTTCTTGTTCTCTTGTGTTCTTTAGAATGGATGGTTAGTTCCTGCAGCTTGCCGGAGTGGAGTCTAAGAGCTGAGAAAAGTATGTTTCCCTCTACGTCATCGCTACACTGTAAACAAACCTAATTTCTTGATTCCGACTTGTATTCAAAAGCACAATCACCTCCACTTGCCCTTTACATTTTAACCACTCGCCCTTACTACTTACAATAACTCCACTTCCTTATACCTTATACTCAGTTGCACTCCCAGCCACACCACATTGCACTCGAGTGCACTCGCTCGAGTGCACTCATGAACACTGCCTCATTACGCTCATAACAACTTCATCGATTTTGACAACCCTGGCCCCACCCACGTGAAGAACACTGCTGCACTCACCTCACAGGACTCAACCTCAACCCTCACACCTCATTCAACCATTCATCACGCCCCTAAACCTTCATTCAACCAACTCAACAACCATTCACTCCCCCCCCCCAGCCCAACTACTTGGGCTGGACGGTCTCGCTTCATGCAGGTCGCCGTTCAATCCCCGACCGTCCAAGTAGTTGGGCACCATTCCTTCCCCACCCCCCGTCCCATTCCAAATCCTTATTCTGACCCCTTTCAAGTGCTGTATAGTCGTAGTGGCCTGGCGCTTTTCCCTGATAATTCCCTCCCTCCCTATCAAAATATATATATATTGTTTCTCTTCATAGCTCAGACCACTTGGCATGTCTCTGAACTTTTGAAATTTTGTTCCTGTGTTCATGTACCGATTGGAATGGTCGACACAACAATGGACTCGCTGGATGCGGCGTCAGCGTTTCATGCCCGAGGGTTCAAGTGAACAGTTATCATGCATGGCTCTTATCCGGCTATCATATTTCTTTCACGAACCATATGGTCATTCTAGCTATCTCTTTCATCTGATAATCTATGCCCCCAGGCGCTGTGTGACCCAATAGCCTAGCAATAGTAACCTTGTGTTATGTTCAGGTTCTGGTACTGCCAAAGCTTTCTACCATTAACCGACAACGTTCTATTTATACACTATAAACACATACCATGCAACATCATCGATAACCTAATCTATATTGAATATGCAATCAAAAAATTTTTTTTTCCTATTAAAATTCCTAAATTGCGAGAGAAACAGAAATGAATAATTTGGACTTCGTATTTTCAACACCAAAAAAAATATATATATATATATATATACATATATATAATCACAATGGTTAAATTATCGACAGGTAGCCAACACGTTCCGGACTCGTCTGAACATGTAACGAGCGCACGACATGTAATAACCGGTAATTTGTTATGGTGGCCGGCCGGCTGTTGCTGGCTCCCAAGTATATGTATCGTGCTCCACATGTACCATTACCCCGCCAATTTATCTTGACTGCAAGCAAGCACTCTCCTTCGAAATATATCAATGATTATAATGGCCCAGGGAAAGCCTTTTGCCTGTATCAATACTTATCAATCTATAATGTTCCAGGGGAGGGAAAGCCTAGTCTACAGCAAACTCCCGAATACTGCACATAATCCATTAAATATTATTTGGGATTTTATTATTTTAGTATAGACAAAATGCGTGACAAGCTAATCTGTCTCTCATGCCAACTCTTAAGCAATTATGTATAAATACAAATAAAACAGCGAGCAAGCAACTGAAGTTGTCAATTAGGCTTGGAATGCATTCTCATTGTTGCCAAGCGCGAAATTTAAGGTTTGTTTTTTTCTTCAAATTGTAATTATGAGGCGAAATTGCTCAGCCAGAATGACTATTTAGCGAGTCCTTCCTCTCTAGTTGTCACGACAGGGTAATGATGTACTATATTGCCCGAACTTAACCTAACCGATACACCAGGCATAGAAAACGGGGTTGTTTGAGAGGCGCTGGGATTTATAGTACATCATATTTTGTCCGTGGGGGATTATGGCATCGAAATGAGAGAGAGGACAGGTTGCTTGCACTTAGAAGGCACCTGAGAACCAGGAGCTGGGATATGAGAACGGAAGGAAGGGTACCCAACAACCATTTGGGCCATCGGGGATCGAACCTAGACCCTGTAGGAAGCGAGGCTGTAGTCCTTCCCGACAAGTCCAAGTGAACTTGTCACGATAAGGTCTAGTTCCAGTTAGGTCCGGAAATCTGGTTCCGGACCAGATTCCAAATCTGGTTCCAATAAGTTCCCTAGGATCTATAGTTCTAATTAGCTCCCAAAGATCTATTTCTACTCCCCTTAGCTCTAGTTTTCTTTGGAAACACCTAGATTTAATTTTCCTGAGTTCCTCTTGAGTTCGAGGAAGTTTTCTTTAGATCACCTTGTGCAAGTTTTCTTCGGATCTAGCTCGATGGTCAAACCATTTCGTGACTCGCCGTCATAATAATGTTAGGAGAATGTGCTAAGCCCGTATGACTAAATAGACGAGCCTAAGGATAGGAAAGAAACTATCAGGAGAAAGAGCCGAGCTCATTGCGACTATATAGCACTTGGAATGAATCAGGATAAGGATTAGGAATGGTGCCCAACCATTTGGACGGTCGGGGATTGCATCAACGGATTGATGCATCCGGAGCAAATAACTCAGGTTATTGTGACTGATAACGACTATGCTGACTGATAAAACCGGTGTTGCATCCGACTTCTTTCCCAGATATTGTTGATCGTTTGTGAAGTATTGAAAATCAAGTTACTGCGTCAATCTTTTTTTTTTTTTTAATTTTGACGCATGCGTGAAGCTACGTATTTTTAATTTTGTCCACAATTGGTTCTCATGAGGAGAGAGTATGACTATATAGCACTTGGAAACGATATAAGAACAAGGAGGTGGGATATGAGGACAAGGAGCTGGGGTATGAGGACAAGGAGCTGGAGTATGAGGACAAGGAGCTGGGGTATGAGGACAAGGAGCTGGGGTATGAGGACAAGGAACTGGGGTATGAGGACAAGGAGCTGGGGTATGAGGACAAGCAGCTGGGATATGAGGACAAGAAGCTGGGGGTATGAGGACAAGGAGCTGGGGGTATGAGGACAAGGAGCTGGGGGGTATGAGGACAAGGAGCTGGGGGGTATGAGGACAAGGAGCTGGGGGTATGAGGACAAGGAGCTGGGGGTATGAGGACAAGGAGCTGGGGGTATGAGGACAAGGAGCTGGGGGTATGAGGACAAGGAGCTGGGGGTATGAGGACAAGGAGCTGGGGGTATGAGGACAAGGAGCTGGGGTATGAGGACAAGGAGCTGGAGTATGAGGACAAGGAGCTGGGGGTATGAGGACAAGGAGCTGGGGTTATGAGGACAAGGAGCTGGGGTATGAGGACAAGGAGCTGGGGTATGAGGACAAGGAGCTGGGGTATGAGGACAAGGAGCTGGGGTATGAGGACAAGGAGCTGGGGTATGAGGACAAGGAGCTGGGGTATGAGGACAAGGAGCTGGGGTATGAGAACAAGGAGCTGGGGTATGGGGACAAGGAGCTGGAGTATGAGGACAAGGCGCTGGGGGTATGAGGACAAGGAGCTGGTGGTATGGGGACAAGGAGCTGGGGTATGGGGACAAGGAGCTGGGGTATGAGGACAAGGAGCTGGGGTATGAGGACAAGGAGCTGGGGGTATGAGGACAAGGAGCTGGGGTATGAGGACAAGGAGCTGGTGGTATGAGGACAAGGAGGTGGGATATGAGGACAAGGAGCTGGGGGTATGAGGACAAGGAGGTGGGATATGAGGACAAGGAGCTGGAGTATGAGGACAGAATGAAGTAACTGTACCCAACCACTTGGATCATCGGGGATCAAACCCCGAACCTGCAAAGAAGCGCCCGATCAGTTGGTAAGGGAGGGAACAATCAGAAGAAAAAACTAAGCCACTACGACTACATATAGCACCGTGAAAGGATCAGGATAAGGATTTGGGGTTGGACAGGGGGAAAGGAATGGTACCCAACCACTCGGACGGTCGGGGATTGAACGCCGACCTGCATGAAGGGAGACCGTCGCTCTACCGTTCTTATATATCAAAAGAAAGCACCAGATCGGGAATACTCGGCAGTGAAGTGAAAATTTCACCTACCTCAGCTCTGTGTATTGGGCAGCCATATTGCTAACACAAACTGTTAGGTTGATCAAGCCCCTTCACACTTCTGTTGACAAATACTCGAAAGAGTTCGCGGGTAGTGTCTGACTTTGTGATAAGTTCTTGGAGATCGTCAATACCAAACTCGATTAAAATAAAAAAATATATAAAAACAATTACGAAAATCGACGAACACTTTACATAACAGAGCAAACTATTATCAAAAGTTAAACTCGGGCCATGAAACACTTATAATTTTGACATTACTTCACTTTAACAACGAGTTTACATTCATGTCTAACAGGAAATGAATAGTGAGTCACAAGGTTGTGTCACTATACGTCAGAGGGAAGCGTGTGTGACACACCCACACTCGCTGGAGTCCGGCAGGACACTGGTCGATGGCTCAGGTTCACACACCTCCCTCAGGTGTGTGTTGCTGCTGCTGCTCTCAGAACACATCTCCAACCACACTACAAATGATTATGCTGTCGTAAGATATTACAGAAAATATTGAAGCCATGCAGTGGGATCGAACACGCGTCCCTGGAGTAACCAGGTGAGGATGGTCTCAATTATTGTTGAATATTAATTTAAAACTTTTATACATATAATCGGCTAATTATATCCACCTGATAATATGTGGTGTAACTCGGGTGACGAAGGCTACATGTTCACTACTCGTTATCTTCATGGCTGTAGCCATCTTCCCTACCCGGGCATCGCCGGGTACACCAAGTCTACAATCATACTCATCACTACCCCCCTCTTTCTCTCTCTCTCTCTCTCTCTCTCTCTCTCTCTCTCTCTCTCTCTCTCTCTCTCTCTCTCTCTCTCTCTCTCTCTCTCTCTCTCTCTCTCTCTCTCTCTCTCTCTCTCTCCACCTCCAATACCCTGCTGGACTACTGGATGGATGACTGCTGGATGACTACTGAAAACAACAATTACTGAAAACGGCGATGGGTTATATTTTCCCATAACCCCTCTACAGTTTTGAAAATATCTGAAATGTAGGAATTTTGACTCCTGAGCGTGATTTTTGAGCAAAATTCCGACTCTCTGCACCCATCTCGATTTTCAAATTACGAATTTTTATACCGAAACTATGCCAATTACTGAAAATGGCAATGGGTCATATTTTGCCCAAACCCCCCTGCAGTTTTCAAAATATCTGAAATGTGAGAAATTTGACTCCTGAGCGTGAATTTTGAGCCGAATTCTGACTCTCTGCACCTATTTTCATTTTCCAATTACCACTTTTTATACCGAAACTATGCCAATTACTAAAAACAGCGATGGGTTATATTTTCCCATAACCCCCCTGCAGTTTTCAAAATATCTGAAATGTCGAAAATTTCATGCCTGAGCGTGATTTTTGAGCCAAATTCTGACTCTCTGTACCTATTTTCATTTTCCACTTACCTCTTTTTATACCGAAACTATGCCAACTACTGAAAACGGCAATGGGTCATATTTTGCTCAAACCCCCCCTGCAGTTTTCAAAATATCCCAAATATCCCAAATTCGATACCTGAGCCATATTTTGGAGCCAAATTCTGGCTCTCTGCACCTATTCGCAGTTTGAAATTCCGACATTTTATACCAAAAATCTGCCAATTACTGAAAGCGGCGGTTGGTCACATTTTGACCAAACCCCCCTGCAGTTTTCAAAATATCCCAAACATCCCAAATTCGATACCTGAGCCATATTTTGGACCCAAATTCTGGCTCTCTGCACCTATTCGCAGTTTTAAATTCCGACTTTTTATACCAAAAAACTGCCAATTACTGAAAGCGGCGGTGGGTCACATTTTGCCCAAACCCCCCTGCAGTTTTCAAAATATCCCAAACATCCCAAATTCGATACCTGAGCCATATTTTCGACCCAAATTCTGGCTCTCTGCACCTATTCGTAGTTTAAAATTCCGACTTTTTATACCAAAAATATGCCAATTACTGAAAGCGGCGGTGGGTCACATTTTGCCAAAATCCACCTGCAGTTTTCAAAATATCCCAAACATCCCAAATTCGATACCTGAGCCATATTTTGGACCCAAATTCTGGATCTCTGCACCTATTCGCAGTTTGAAATTCCGATATTTTATACCAAAAATCTGCCAATTACTGAAAGCGGCGGTGGGTTACATTTTGTCCAAACCCCCCTGCAGTTTTCAAAATATCCCAAACATCCCAAATTCGATACCTGAGCCATATTTTGGACCAAAATTCAGGCTCTCTGCACCTATTTGCCGTTTGAAATTCCGACTTTTTATACCAAAAATCTGCCAATTACTGAAAGAGGCGGTGGGTCACATTTTGCCCAAACCCCCCTGCAGTTTTCAAAATGTCTGAAATGTCCGAAATTTGAATCCTGAGCGTGATTTTTGAGCCGAATTCTGACTCTCTGCACCTATTTTCATTTTCAAATTACGACTTTTTATACCGAAAATATGCCAATTACTGAAAACGGCGATGGGTCATATTTTGCCCAAACCCCCCTGCAGTTTTCAAAATGTCTGAAATGTCCGAAATTTGGCTCCTGAGCGTGATTTTTGAGCCGAATTCTGACTCTCTGCACCTATTTTCATTTTCAAATTACGACTTTTTATACCGAAAATATGCCAATTACTGAAAACGGCGATGGGTCATATTTTGCCTAAACTCCCCTGCAGTTTTCAAATTATCTGAAATGTTCGAAATTTGACTCCTGAGCGTGATTTTTGAGCCGAATTCTGACTCTCTGCACCTATTTTCATTTTCAAATTACGACTTTTTATACCGAAATTATGCCAATTACTGAAAACGGCGATGGGTCATATTTTGCCCAAACCCCCCTGCAGTTTTCAAAATGTCTGAAATGTCCGAAATTTGGCTCCTGAGCGTGATTTTTGAGCCGAATTCTGACTCTCTGCACCTATTTTCATTTTCAAATTACGACTTTTTATACCGAAAATATGCCAATTACTGAAAACGGCGATGGGTCGTATTTTGCCCAAACCCCCCTGCAGTTTTCAAAATATCTGAAATGTCCGAAATTTGACTCCTGAGCGTGATTTTTGAGCCGAATTCTGACTCTCTGCACCTATTTTCTATTTCAAAATACGACTTTTTATACCGAAAATATGCCAATTACTGAAAACGGCGATGGGTCATATTTTGGCCAAACCCCCCTGCAGTTTTCAAAATGTCTGAAATGTCCGAAATTGGACTCCTGAGCGTGATTTTTGAGCCGAATTCTGACTCTCTGCACCTATTTTCTATTTCAAATTACGACTTTTTATACCGAATATATGCCAATTACTGAAAACGGCGATGGGTCATATTTTGCCCAAACCCCCCTGCAGTTTTTAAAATGTCTGAAATGTCCGAAATTTGACTTCTGAGCGTGATTTTTGAGCCGAATTCTGACACTCTTTGCACCTATTTTCATTTTCAAATTACGACTTTTTATACCGAAAATATGCCAATTACTGGAAACGGCGATGGGTCATATTTTGCCCAAACCCCCCTGCAGTTTTCAAAATGTCTGAAATGTCCGAAATTTGGCTCCTGAGCGTGATTTTTGAGCCGAATTCTGACTCCCTGCACCTATTTTCATTTTCAAATTACGACTTTTTATACCGAAAATATGCCAATTACTAAAAACGGCGATGGGTCATATTTTGCACAAACCCCCCGCAGTTTTCAAAATGTCTGAAATGTCCGAACTTTGACTCCTGAGCGTGATTTTTGAGCCGAATTCTGACTCTCTGCACCTATTTTCATTTTCAAATTACTAATTTTTATACCGAAAATATTCCAATTACTGAAAACGGCGATGGGTCATATTTTGCCCAAACCCCCCTGCAGTTTTCAAAATGTCTAAAACGTCCGAAATTTGACTCCTGAGCGTGATTTTTGCGCCGAATTCTGACTCTCTGCACCTATTTTCATTTTCAAATTACGACTTTTTATACCGAAATTATGCCAATTACTGAAAACGGCGATGGGTCATATTTTGCCCAAACCCCCCTGCAGTTTTCAAAATATCTGAGATGTCCGAAATTTGACTCCTGAGCGTGATTTTTGAGCCGAATTCTGACTCTCTGCACCTATTTTCATTTTCAAATTGCGAATTTTATACCGAAAATATGCCAATTACTGAAAACGGCGATGGGTCATATTTTGCCCAAATCCCCCTGCAGTTTTCAAAATGTCTGAAATGTCCGAAATTTGACTCCTGAGCGTGATTTTTGAGCAGAATTCTGACTCTCTGCACCTATTTTCATTTTCAAATTACGACTTTTTATACCGAAAATATGCCAATTACTGAAAACGGCGATGGGTCATATTTTGCCCAAACCCCCCTGCAGTTTTCAAAATGTCTGAAATGTACGAAATTTGACTCCTGAGCGTGATTTTTGAGCCGAATTCTGACGCTTTGCACCTATTTTCATTTTGAAATTACGGCTTTTTATACCGAAAATATGCCAATTACTCAAAGCGGCGGTGGGTCATATTTTGCCCAAACCCCCCCTGCAGTTTTCAAAATGTCTGAAATGTCCGAAATTTGACTCCTGAGCGTGATTTTTGAGCCGAATTCTGACTCTCTGCACCTATTTTCATTTTCAAATTACGACTTTTATACCGAAAAGATGCCAATTATTGAAAACGGCGATGGGTCATATTTTGCCCAAACCCTCCTGCAGTTTTCAAAATGTCTGAAATGTACGAAATTTGACTCCTGAGCGTGATTTTTGAGCCGAATTCGGACTCTCTGCACCTATTTTCATTTTCAAATTACGACTTTTATACCGAAAAGATGCCAATTATTGAAAACGGCGATGGGTCAAATTTTGCCCAAACCCCCCTGCAGTTTCCAAAATATCTAAAATGTCCGAAATTTGACTCCTGAGCGTGATTTTTGAACCGAATTCAGACTCTCTGCACCTATTTTCATTTTCAAATTACGACTTTTTATACCGAAAATATGCCAATTACTGAAAACGGCGATGGGTCATATTTTGCCCAAACCCCCCTGCAGTTTTCAAAATGTCTGAAATGTCCGAAATTTGACTCCTGAGCGTGGTTTTTGAGCCGAATTCTGACTCTCTGCACCTATTTTCATTTTCAAATTACGACTTTTTATACCGAAAATATGCCAATTACTGAAAACAGCGATGGGTCATATTTTGGCCAAACCCCCCTGCAGTTTTCAAAATGTCTGAAATGTCCAAAATTTGACTCCTGAGCGTGATTTTTGAGCCGAATTCTGACTCTCTGCACCTATTTTCATTTTCAAATTACGACTTTTTATACGGAAAATATGCCAATTACTGAAAACGGCGATGGGTCATATTTTGCCCAAACCCCCCTGCAGTTTT